CACCTGCCATCCTGCCTATTTCCATTCCTTCAAAAAAGACATCATGATAGCACCCCCACTCTGCTGAAAAGGAGACTGACCCACTAGCATACAGATCTGCTGCTAGCTTGCACTAACTGACACACTGTCTCGATCGAGTCCCAGACTGGTTCTTATCTACTAAACTTTACTCCTCTCACCCCTCCAACAAAGCCAGGGGGAACAGATGCTGTGCAATCAGTTAAGCACTGGCAATTTTATTCCCTGCCTGGCAATGTGGACTAGAAGTGCCATGGTTGCAAGACCAGGGTTGCATCACAACGTTGTAGTTTGCCAACTGTATTTCATGATCTGACTTACAATTCCAGAGCCCTGAAACTTTAAAAACATATGGGGCTTCCTTAATTCATCTGGAGAGATAAAAGGAACATCTGAAATTACTTTTATTTAGAAATTTAACAAAAAAATCATAAAAGAGCAGATCACGTACGGAAATGCAAAATGAAGATATCGATGCTAAGGCTTTGTGCAACTACTTTCATTTAAAGAGAAATCTATTCAGGGTTGTCTTTTCAGATTGTCAGATTAAACAAGCCATACGGCATTTGCTGCTAACCTGTAATTACAAATTATTACAGAATACAAAAGATGCCAGGCATAAAAAGCTACTACAATTCACTACACTGTAATAGAACACGCAGTAGAAGTTAATTTTGGGAAATGCTTTAAATATTACCTTTACATAATATGTATAGGTGAGACTGTAATTAGAACAGAATGAGTCCTTCGAAGCCTCTTTCATTCTGACCCAGCAGATGATTACTTTTTACTAATAAGACCACAGCCATTTGACAAAAAGCCAACTATAGTACCTTGTTTCATTCTTCAGTAAATTTAATAATTACAGCTCCTCCTGCCAATAGTTCTCAAATCAGACTTGTTCAATCCAATACTGAGCTTATTAGGGGACAGCTCTATGTTTAGAATTCTTTGGCCAAAAAAGTACTTGAGGATGATGAAGCATGCCTTAGACAAGGGCACAATGATTAGCCATTTTCTTTACATAAAAAACAGCACGTAGTCACTACAGACCACAAAATCACCTGCTGTTAGCACACAGCTGCTACAAAGAGCTGCTGCATTTATCTGGTTCTTAATACCTTTAAAGGAAGCCTAAATGGAACAACTTAATATGGAGGGAGAATAGCACTACACAGAGTTTCTGCTATCAGTATTAATCTCATCTTTTTCAATTTTCTTCCCAATGTAGCTATTTGATATTTACTAGATACACTGCATAATATATGACACTCCTCTGTAGCTTAGCTTGGTTCTTTTTTCTTCCCCAAGTTCTGAAGAAAATGTTCATTCCTGAGTCTCTTAAGGTTCTGAGCAGATGAGATAAATTTATCTTTTTAGATAACTATGGTTTTAAACAATGTAAACAGATCGATAACAAATTATGACAGGTTAAAAAAAAATCACAGAAAGCCTTCAATATTACAAGCTTAGATAGGGAAAAAATCCAAAATATTCTTAGAAAAAATATCAAAATTAAGAAAACAAAAATCAATGTTCTGAAAGTAAACCGAAAAGCAACATTTATCCATGCTGCAGAACTTAACGCTTTTTGCTGATAGACAGAAGAATCCATATCAAATCCATCTTCATGTTGTTCAGAAGATACTGACTTTTGGTTTATCGAACACTAATTGCTCAGAATTATGTTAGCTCATTCTATACTAATGCTTCCCACCTAGTGTCTAGGTATAATTTAAAATTTATGCTTGAGACCCACACTTCGATACTGAAAACCAAGATAAAATCTTTTTGAAAGAAAATGTAATTAGGCAATTTGACAAACCTTCAGTGACTGGCTGAAGTTTAGAAGACCTCTCTGAATCTGGAGAATGCAGTGGTTCTGGTTCCTTCAAGCTTTCTAAGTGCATAAATGGATCATAATCCACACATGCCAAATCAGAAAGACTTAGAGGGAAATATTTAGGGTTGCTAAAGCACTGGGACCCATAGACACATCCATGCAGAACCTAGAATAAAACCAGAATTTCATTACATTAACTACTGAAATTTCTACTTGATAGTTTTATAAGAAATTAAGTCTGTTTTTATTTATGTTGTTACAACCAGGTAGGCAGGACAAAATGTTGGAAAATTCTACATGCTTAGCATTTACAGAAACAAACCCTGGTCTGCAAGAAAAATTGTTAAAACAGCATCTACACTGAAGTGGAATTTAACAATTTAAAAAAACAAGAAACAAAGCTTACAACAAATCACTAAGCTACATTTATTTTTAGATATCCTATCTTCTTTAATTGCATATGCTAGATGTAAGCTGCTAGAGGTTTTAATCCCTTTCTCTTGAAAAAAAAAAAACAACAAACCTATTTTCATTTGGTGTCCCTAAAGACAGTAATTATAACTTAGTGCTTTTTACTTTGCTTATTGCCTGATAAAATTCATTGGTATATAAAAGCTAAACCCTCCTGTCTTAAATGTATAGCTGGTCTTCTACAACACAAGCATCTCCTATCGCTATGACATACAAAAAGGACCTCAGTTAAATCACAAAATGTAAAACAAAATCAACAATTCCAAATATACCAAATTTAAGCAGTTACAGTTAAATGTAGAAGAACTAAGACAGCACTCCACATTTCAGCAGTAGCATGGAGTTCAGCTTACACAAAAAATGTGTCTTCATTTCTGTGATAACTGACACTACCTCCACACACAGAAACTGTCATTTAGTGTGGAAAGAAACACATACCTTATATATACAGTTAAGAACGGATCTTTCAGTTTTATCATTTTCTGTTCCTGTAGTGTGAAGAGGCTGCAGCAAGGTCTTTAATGGCAAGGCCATTATCCAGTCCAATAGGCACAGAAGTAAAGAAACCACCAACTGGAACAAACACTTTCAATTGCAAATCAATTAAACCAGCACCCCTTACTTCTCATTTATCTCTTTATTTTACTTCTCTTTTTTAGTTTCTCCTTTTTGACTCAGTAGAGTCAACCTTCTGCAGTAATGGTGAGTCACACTTTTTTAAAAGCCACTGTATTTTCAAAACCTATTGCATCAGTAAAAGCTTTGGCTACTGAGATATTTAACAATCATGCAAGAGTTTCTCAGCATGGTAAGTCCCTGAGCAGATACTGTGCTTAAGTGGATACTCTTAACTTCCAAAATTGATTTGTAGGGTGTTGTTTTTAAAATGACAGATTACACAGGTACAAATTAAGGCTGATGCACTATTCTGCATATAAATCTCATTGTAAAGTGAAACAAAGATTATGCAAAACTGAACTATTTCAACTGCATTTAGTGCTTTATAAATAACAGAATTTCTTTCACAACATATCAATAATGCTATGCAGCACCAGGTATTATCTGAAAGAAATCCAACTGATTTCTCCGCTAGAGGCTACTCAGTCAGCAGAAGAACCAACTCCCTCTAGGGGATGTTTTTAAAGACTGTAGAAAAGAATTAGATTAAAACACGCATACATATCAAATTATTAATAACTTACTGGCTTCAAATAATTACATTTAAAACTTAGTTGTGGAAAAGGAAGCAGTTCAGAGAAATAGCTGAAAGATTCTCTAAAATATTTCCCAAGTTAAATAAAAGTCTTTCAAAGAAAATCCACGTAACAAATTTACTAATAAAGGGCATACAAACATCATACTCATTTCACATAACACATTGCAACTTTGTCTCTCGGAAGCACTGTATGATAAACCTAATGATGAAGGGCTCTGAGTATTTTTATATTAAACCAATTTTTAAGAAACCCATTAGGGCTAAGTTTGTCAAACTAGGTAAGCCAAGGTTTTTATACGATTTTGATGTAGAATGATCAGCATTAGTTCATGGGGAAACACTGATGTATAGGAAACACCTGAAGAGGAAAGGTGGTTATCTTGCCATACTGCTGCAGTCTTCAACAGCTCCTGCCTTCTCGCAAGCAGAGCAGAGGTAAAACTGATCTCTGGAGGCCAAAATGAGCGACAGATGAATGCTAGCTCCCATGGGAGCACGGCCCAGAAGGACAGAGCTGCCAGTGACAAATTGCACTGAAATGCCCAAATTTAAACGACCACTGAGCCCCACAGTCATAGAGCAAAGCAAAATAATCCAGAAGATTCATCTTTCAGAAGGCAGAAAGAACTACTGTATCAGGTGAAGATGGAGCCTGTCTGAGCTAGGGGACTTAGGCCCACTGAAAATACAAAAGGTTAGCAAATGTTTTGAAGGATAACAACAATCAAATTCATCTGAAGATTACAGGCTATCTTGCTCACGAATGTACTTAGAGTATAAAGTGCAAAAACCAATAATCTCATAAATATTTTGAATGGTATTCTCTACAAGTTTAGAATATATTTTCACTGTAAGGGAAGTTTAAAAAATCTACATTACTTTATTTGCTTGTAAGCTTGCTGAGGATAAGGAAAAAGAAGACTTCCTGATTATTGAAAGTAATCAATCTCAATTGCACCTGTGTATTTTCCTACAAAAACTTCAGAAATTCACTTGTACAAAGAATATTGCTGGAATTCTGAGAACACTACGCTGCATCATACTTAAAAAGCTGAATCCCTAATTTAAAGTACAACTTAAATTTTGTAACAATGCTATATCACACACTTTTGTAATTAAATTGACACACTAAAAAGAAGCAAAAAATGTTTACCCTCTTGTCCTGTTCATAAGAGGAAGCTTCTGTACTGGGTAGTAGATGGGTAATAGTTGCTATCAGTATCTGGGGAAAATATAGCATAGTTTCTTTAAAAATGCAATTTAAACATTGAAGTTTAAAATAAATTTTTAAGCAGGTAAATGTGACATAGTGCTAGATTCAGCGTTAAATTTTGTTAAAGTTATTTTGAGACAAATGACAGTATTCCTTGCACCCTGCTCCATCCCCCCTTTTTTTTTAAATAAAATCCTTTTAATTAACTATCACAGAAAACATTGAAGGAATATGTTCTGCTGGACTGACGTAGGTGCATTAGGGACAATGAAACTACACAGCTCCTCCAAATATTCAGGCAGGAAAAGAACTTGATTCCACATGCTGGTAGGGTGCAGGAAGGAGCCTGACATGGGTTTGTGTAAGAGGCTATTTGAGCTCCATTATTTCCTAGAACTACTAGAATTTGTACACACTCTATCTCTACTTAATCAACAATATGACTGCAGAGGAGCAGAGAAATACTTGCAATACCTCTTAAGAAGCTTCCACACAATTCCCTTTCTGGTTACCTGGGAGATCTCTATCTTGCTCTGTGGTTCAGAATCACAGAGGCTACCGTCTACTTCCATGTTATTTAAAATGTATCCATTCTTAAACAGTTTAATGCAAACTGTTTTGCATACGGATATACAAAATACAATTGTAGATCTGTATTTTAAGTGGTTGATTTCTCAATAAACTTAAAAAAAACATATTTGAAGATATTTAATACTAAAAAAAATGGCACTTTATTGACAATGCTCTCATATACACAGTTGTACTGGTGAAAAAACAAGCATGACAGCCATTTTACATGTTTATACCGGAGTCAGCAAGTAAGTGTGACGTGAACCCACACAATTCATCATCAGTAAGACTATGTTTCTACTAATTTAACATTTTGTGAAATATGCAAATATACTTGTCAATATTCTGGTATTTTAATTTCAGTGAAATACATTTAATTAACATTTTTATATTTTTAAAAATTACTTACTTGAATAATTCTTAAAGGTGAGTCAGCTTGATACACTTGGAGTCTATGTACATAATGTATCAGCATATTCAGCATACTGCAGGCAACTTGGGCTACTGTTTTATTTGGAAACTAAAAAAGATAACAAAGCACAGTAACATTGACTACATTGCATAGAACAGTGTGTTAGATGGTAAGGTGATCAGCAATTTCAGTGAGAGTTTTGCACACATAGTCCCTTATGTACCTATTACTGGAGGATCAGAATTAAATTTTACAAAATTTAATAGGAATTATTTTATAGTCATAGCCAAATGTTAGCAGCTAACATCAAAGGTTTGGGACAGACAATCAGGGAGGTGCACACAATGAGGGAGAGGGGATAGGAGTCTCTTAACTCATTTCAGTCCTGTTAATACAGTATCATGAAGCCAGAGAGAGCAAACACATTTCTTGTTACCTTGATGATTACTTATGTTAATGAATCACTGCAAAAAAAACCCAAGGATCTCCTCTGGAAATGAGAGGTCTTTGCTGAGAACCAGTTGCACATCCAATGTGCAAGACACAGCGCTACCAGTGTGATGAGCTCTTCTGTATTTGTAAGTGACTGCTGTGTGCAGCCTTTATGTGCATGGAAATGAATGCACCTCAGCTTCTGGGCCTAATTCCCCTTTTCTCTGTTTTCTGCTAAAGGTAGGAGAACACTGCTGCACTGCAGCCTGCCTTCAACAGTTACTGAAACACTTAAGTTACTGTGTTGGTCAAGGCAAATTTGTATGCGTTTGTACTTCAATTAGTGCCCAGCCTTGGGGATGGGTGCACTCACCCATCTCCCTAAGTGGGAAAACAAAGAAATTAAGAGTTCGGGATGCATTGCCTTAAATTATTAATGCATAGGACATGTAACTGAGGCTTCTTCCTTCACTGCACTTAAAACATTAAGCTCTGCACCAAACAACAAGCACAAAGTGAATTTTAGAAGTTAATTTTATTCATCTAGGACATGATGGCTACTAGCA